GATTCTCAGTGCTGTGCTTTAACCCGCTGCACCACCAGGGAGGGCCTCATATCCTGTTTTAACTTTCTCCTTTGTGGAAATCTGTGTAAAATGGAAGAGAGGGTAGAAGGCAGGCTAGGAATCCAAGTTCAAAAGCTGAAGAATGGTTTAGAAACAGAGTTATTAAAGACATCAGAATCCTACCTTTTACATGGATTTCCATCAGTAAGCGCTTCGGTTACCTAATGTACTTTGTGTATGTCACATCCATGTAGTTTGACTGATGTTCTTTCCAAATTTAGGGAGAGGTAGCTGAATGAGTGATGAAAACTAAATGCAAAAATATTACAATATTCCAATTGTAATATGCTAGATTAAAAAAAAAAAAGCCAGACGATTCATTTTTTTAAAAAAATCCTTCAGTGTCAGCAAGAGCAGCCAGGGAGACATGTGCCAAGAGTGGGAGTGATTTATGTCCAGAAACCCCTAATGGGCTGGAGCAGCAAACCAGACGGCTTCTCGATCAGTGCCCAAATGTGCAGTGGGTTAGCGCTCCTTTCCATCTGCAAATAGCCACTGCTTAAGGAAAGATGCTTCAGGATGCCACACGCAGTCATTTTTGACGGTGTGGGGTAATTATCCTACATATTACTGAAGTGGAATAATCGGTATGTCTTGGAGGCCACTTCACTCCCACAGACACCTCCTTTTCTTTATAAAGCTGCTTAATTTTCTCCACCCAACCCCCCTTGGCTTCATAGAAAAGTGTTGTGCCCACCAGGAGCATTCCAGGAGACGCTGGACGAGGAGAGCAGAGGCAACTCTGTGGAAAAGTTGACTAACTTTGCTTGTTGCAATACCCAGAAAAAGTGAAGCTATTTTGTGTGCCAGTGGGACTTGGTGTGAGATGCCAAAGGGGCGGATGGGTCCCAGGGACTCGGAGCACCAGAAGGATGCCGCCTGCTTGGCTGAGAGAGCCGGCAGTGGGGCCGGCTATTGTAAAGCCCCTCTGCCAGATGAACAGGGACCCTTCTCTGGTCACAATAGCCATTCACACTGAGCAGCCTCATTAAATATTCAGCCTGTGCTTCCGGCAGCTCATTAAGGCCGCAATGAGCAGTGACGTGGATGCTGGAAAGCTGAGGGCTGCCCAGCTTCAGCAGACAGAGGCTGAGTGAGCTGCTGATGGCTTTTCTGTTCACTGCCTGTCCTGTGATGACCAGTGTTTGCTCCCTGCTTTGCTTGAAGTACAGGTAAAAACCAAACCAAACAAATAGAAGCAGAAGACATTTGAGAGCGTGGGGTCCTCATCTCTGAGGTTGTCTGGCAAGGATCTCTGATCTTGACTGTCTGCCCCCTTGAAGCCCTGTGACCCCCATGTAGAGCTGTCTGCAGCTTCTGGGCCTTCGGGAAGCCCTGTCAATGTGGTGCTTTTGTGTATTTAGCTGGTTGATGACTGCTTTTGGGAGGATTTGAGGTCTGGTTTCGAACTTGGTGCTGGGCATTGAGAGTAGTAAATTGTCTCTCTGGACCATGTGAAATGTGGAAATTTGGTGGGGTAATCCTAGCAGTATGTGCTTCGAGTTCACTTTCTGCATGCCTACTTAGTGTATCTGAGAAGCAGCCTCTCCCTCCATCGTGACTATAGGGTAGGTGAGGAGTCCTTAAAGTCAGTAGTCTACAGTTCATTGCAGTTCTTTGAATAAGCTGCTGGTGTCCTTCTTGTGTCTTGTTACTTGGCCACAGGCTTGCACTCGGTGCAATGGGATGTCTAAAGCTGGGGTGATCTGTGAAAGGACAATTGAAAAATGAGGAATTCACACAAATGTATTTCTCTGGTCTCACTCTTTGCATGTTTTCTCCTTCCTACACAGAAAATGTTTCCAGACAGCTCATTTCTATGTGGAAGATAGCAGTTCACCTCGGGTGGTCCCCAATGAAAGTATTCCTATTATTCCTATCCCGGGTAAGTAAGACACTCCTCTTATATACAATGGGCTGTTTTCCTCTTTGTTCTCCATTTTATGTGATGGCCATGACAAATATTACTTTTATAACCATTTCAAGCCTTCCCAATCTAAGTGATGCTTAACTAAGAGTGATCTGAACCTTTGCCCCTTCACAAATCTACAAAGTGAAGAAATCCTCTTTAAGAGATATAAATAATTGAGTTAATAATGTACAGAGTCACATTGAGGGAAAGGAAATATGAGCAGAGGACAAGCAAAATGATATTTGCAATCTACTTGAACTGAATTTCATTTGGATAGGTACTTTATGCTTACAATTTTTTAAATTAAAGTTGGTGATTTTTTTTTTAAGTGATCTTTCTTTTAAGATCCCTCACTAAGAATAATTTATCTCATTTTGTCCCTTATGATGTTGGTGTGAAAGTCTAGAATACATTGTTGGTCTGTTGTATATTTTATGTGTCCTCAGCAAAAAGGTACAGCACTAGGCTTATGTCAAGGGGAGACATTGATGGAGTTCATGGTGTAAACCCTCACAAATGCCATCAACATTGAGGGGTTCAGCCGCGGTTTAATCTTGATAGGTAGAACATGGGATTTGAAGGTGGCTCCCACCATTTTTACGAGGCTCCTCTTTCCTTTTGTCAGATTTGGACTTTCTGCTGGGTTTTGTTATGTACTTGTAAACAATGTATCTTCAGATACTGTATACTTTCATCCTCTTGAGAACTGAATTGTTCTTTTGTAAACAGACACACCACTTGTACTAGAGCGTACCTCATACCCCTGCAGCTCCCTCTCATTCTCCACAGGTCTGCCTCAGTCTCCGGAACAGCTTTCTTCTTCTAGTGTACCGTACATACATTTTACTTGGGTTTAGTGTGTGTTTGGGGGTGGTCCCCCCCACTAGAATAAGAGCTTGATAAAGACAAGTAGATGGATGTCTCCTTATTATAGAATAATACCTGGATTCTTTAACTCTATGCAGGAAGGAAGGAATTAGTAAGTGAGTGAGTGTCAGTAAACCTTCCTTAAAGTTCTCAAAAGGCCATATCTATGAAGCTCAGAAGTTTAGTCATTGGCTGGGCACTGAGAAGGAGTGTTATCACTGTTTGCAGATTCCTGGGTAGAGTATGGTTATGGATCATTAGCCTTTTTTTTTTTTTTAAGGTTTATTTTTATTTATGCATGCAAGAGCTGGGGTGTAGTCCAAAGGTGGGAGGGGGCAGGTAGAGAATTCACCATCGACAGAGTTGGGAACCCAGCAGGCAGATCTACTGAAATACAGTGCTGAGGGGAGCAGCGGGCAAGACAGGAGAGGTCTGCTACACCATGTGGGTCACTCCCTGGCCAGGGATCAAACTCATGCTGCCCTGGCTGCCAATAGCTTTATAATGCTGAGAATTAACCCCTTGTGCCACCAGGGAGGCCCTCATTAGTTTTTTATGGTTTTGGCTATGTGGCACAGAATTAAAAGAATAGCAGGTAAGTTTCTAAGTTCCCTTTAGATCATGTTGTGGCTTCTGGATAATTCCCATGTAGGTGGAATTAAGTCCTGGGTTCCTGTGTGTTCTCTACTGACCCTCACCCATCATTCTGGGTGGTGGTCATTACATTCCTGCCTTTGAAGGAGAGAGAGCAGACAGGAATCGTCAGTCTTCCATCTGCACAGAATAAGTTTTGTCAAATCATTTTAAAAAGTTAAATGGTAAGGTACTTCTTGGGCCTGTCTTTTCTTTCCTTTTCCCATTGGATCAGAAAACCTAGGGTCTTTCTCTGCCTCCACCACTGAACCTCATGACCGCTCTGATCCTTGGTTTCCAGAATCTGTCAAGTAAACAAAATGCCTGCCCCTTTTCCATTCAACATCGCTAAGTGTAACAGAGGTTACATGAGGTGATGGGTATAAGGGGACCGTGGGAACCATACAGAAAGCCAGAAAGGTCAGCTTGAGATGCTGCTTCCCTCATCACGTCACTGTTCTCCTAGCAGCCCTGACAGTGAGTGTTAGTGCTCAGGTTAGTGTCTCTACTACCAGACCATATCCAGAGGATGCCCCCCTACAACCTCATGCTCTCTGACTTGGGTTTTGGGACTTTGAATTCACCAGAACCTCAGAAAAAGCCACTCCCCAGCCACACTTCCATACAGGTCTCAGGCCAGAAATGCTTTTGAAGTCTTTTTGCTTCTTTTCCTATCTCCCTATTCAATTACCAAGTTAAATACTCACAAAACCACAAGCATTTCTTTAAATGTGTTTTCCTCTCTTTAAAATAAGAGTTTTTATTAATTCTTGCTTACTGGTAGCATGAGTTCATGGAAAGAAAAATATTTCCACATTCTCCTCTGAGAAATCCATGGTTGTATCTCACTTGGAATAGCAGTGACTTGATAAGTTGCAACACCTTTGTGAAAAGGCATTACTTCCTTTTTTTTTTTTTTTTTTTTGTTACTGTTCCTAGCAATCACTCCTGTGAGGCATTACAGTGTGCAAGGACATCCACGAATAAACTACTCTTCCTCTGTTTACTAGGATTTGCATAGTCGGCATGGCCCTCACAGGGAGCCAGTGGGACATGCCCAGAGAAGTAGACTTAGTTCTGTGAAGTACCCTTGACCTTCCTTCAGAGAACTTGCAACTTGATCATAATCACTGCTTTATGAAACTCCACAGCCCTATTCAACAGTTGCATTTTGTATTTTGTAATTTTGAAATGTTTTAGTAGTCCATTTCATATTTATTCATACAGTTTCTTCCAGTGTTTTTTAATATATTCATCCTTCATTTTTGTACAATGTATGATTTCTCTGTGAAGTTCTCACCACCAGTTCACCTGTGCACCCTAGTCCCTGCACTCTTCCCACCCCTGTCACGGTCCTTCTCCCTCCTCCTCCCCTGCAGAGTGTCTCTGATCTGTAGTTGTCTAATGATTTTGATTTTCCCTTTATTATGCATTTTTTATACCTTATTTTGTTCCTCTACATTCATCCTATAAGTGAGATCATTCGATATTTTTTTTTCTTTCTGGCTTATTTCACTGTGAATCTTTCCCAGCTCCACCCATGCTGCTGCAAAGGGAATGAGTGTATCCTTTCTGATTGTTAGGTAATATTCCACTGTGTAAATATACCACATCTTCTTGATCCAGTTACCTATTTGGGGGCATCTGGGTTGCTTCCATAACTTACCTATTGTAAATTGTGCTGCAATAATATAGAGGTCCAGGCATCCTTTGAATTAATGTTTATAATATAACTGTAACTCATGAAAAAACTATAACTTATGAGAAAACTCAAAATATGACTATAACTCATAAAAAAAAATCACACCTTTCAGGGCCTCCTTGGTGATACAAGGGGTTAAATCTGAGTACTATCAATATATAGCCAGCCACAGCAACATGAGTTGACCTCTGGCCAAGGTGCTAACCCACATGATGCAGCAGACCTCTCCTGTCTCACCCACTGCTAAATTTCAGTAGGTCTGCCTGTTCTCCCCACTCTGCCTCAGGTAATCCTCTCACCTCCTTCTATCTCTGGCCTATACCCCAATTTTTTGCATAAATAAATCTTTTTTTTTAAATCACGAATAAATTCATGAGTTATTTTCCATTAAAGCTTTCAACACAACTTTTCTTTCTTAGAGACCTCTTGGGGTCATTTTAAATGATATAACTTGGTAATTAACTTACTGTTTTATTTCTAAAAATAATAGGACATTATGGAACTCATACTTATTTTGCTCATTGGATCCAATTATACCTTATCTTTATCCAAAATCTAACAAGATAACTAGGCTTAGATTTATTAAAAAAAAAAATTAACACTTGAATTCTTCACTGTATAGGAGTCACGTTGTTATTATTATTGTTTTTATAATATCTCCAAGCAAGCACCAGTAAAGTGAATCATCATACTGGTAAAAAAAAGAATGCAACACAAGGGGTTAAAACGCAACACTATGAAGGAGTGCAGAAGGAGTTCAATCTCAGTCACTGCAGAAGGAGTTCAATCTCTAGCCAGGGAGGTGACCCACATGGCGCAGCAGACCTCACCTGACTCACCCACTGCTCCTCTCATCAGTGTCAGTGTTCTGCTCTCCACTCTGTCTCTAGTGGGTCCTCTTATGCCCTGCACCTCTGTATGCATAAATAAATAAATCTTAGAAAGAAAAAAAGAAATGTGTACAACAGCATGAGATTGGAAATACAGGTACCAAACTTTAAAACCGTGCTCCTGAGTCATCCTTGGAAAATACAGTATGCTCTGTTCCTAGAACTTGTTTTCTTAAATAGAAAATAGCTTTTTTAGAAAATCCTCTGACGTGTACCGAGTACTTGCCAGATACAAGCCATTTGCGCATTGTCACTGATCTCTGTGGCACATGTGTCATTGATGTCCCCATGCTGGGTGGAAGAAACCAAGGGCAGGAGACACTATTTAATCCATAAACTTCCACAGATAAAGGAGCTGGTGTTGGGATTTGTGAGTGCAAAGAGACAGTAAAAATAGCTCTTCCACCTTTGCCAGGATGCTCTGATAGTTGTCATATCTTGAGACTTCAGCCTCCTCATTCAGCTAGGTCTCATTAAATTGAGGCATTTGCACAGAATACCCTTTAGCTTTTTCTGAGTAGTTGTTCTTTGCCATTATTTCACTATTTATTTGCTTCTCTGCTAGATGCACTTTCAACCTTCCAGAATTTCAGACTTCTGCTCTTGAAATTTCCTCCATATCAAAAATTATCTCTTATCTTTAGTTACTCTTATTCTCTTTCCTCCAAGGACTACTTTCCACTTACCAATACCTCTACTTCCTATGCTAATTTAGGTCTGTGTAATTTCAGTACTTACAGAGCAATTCACAATCATATTACATATTAAATAAATCTAGTCACAAAATCAGCAACTTTCAGATGATTCTACTGTAGGAAAGATTAACCAATAACAGCCTTGATTTTTTTTTCATCCCAAATCACAAGTAGAATAACCAAGTT